GTCGGTCCTTTGTTTCTGCACACTGAAGTCGTCATTAAAACCCATGGAACTGCTCCCTGGAGCTGGTGACCTTTTTGTATCTAAAGAGGACTTTACACGACTTGAATTCTTTTTCCTTTGTTGGCGAACAATGTTCTTTTCTTCTGAAAATGGATGATGATCAGTTCATTCAGAGGCTACAGGATTTAAAAAAAGAAGGAACCCAAGATTTAAAGTGACTTCAGGTGATTCCTTCATTCTTGACAGGGAGATGAGCTACCCCTTAATAAAGGTCCTCAGGATTTGAAAATGAAAACATAGCTCTTAGGACACCAGGCAACAGCAGTAGTGGTTGCTGTTGAAGGTATATTTTAGGAGAGGGAAGTTTCCTGGTTTGGGACCCAAAAAGATTAGGGTAAGTGTTGTACTTTACCTTGCTGTTTTGTAACTACTTGTATGGTTTTTGTCTTGGTCCCAGGTCGTTTTCAGTGATTGAAGGTCAGTGGGTAGAGTTTCTTCTTGAGATAATGAGAGGCTTGTCTTTCAGTAGCATATACAAAAGCTCTAGGAAGACCGTAGTTTCCAGCCCTGCAGTTGTATGGAGGGATTATCAATTTACTACACTAAATGCTTTGATTCAGTGTGGGCTTCTTTGGGTCACATGCCTAATATGAACTTGTGTTATGTCAGTAACAGAGGAAAAGATTACTACTGAATGTGGCACAAGAATTCTTGTTAAAAAGTATGACCTTAAAACCCTGATAAATACCATGCTTAATAGTATTCCATTTAAAATATTACACTGAACAGAACATGTTTGTTTTCCCAGCTATACCATGACAGCTAAATGTGCAGGTTAAAATAAAACTCTTATTAAATGAGGTTTAAATATGTGCCATCAGAAAAAATATATGCTTAGGCTAATAAATTGTGTGTATATTTTCATGAAGGTAGTATGTCTTACCATAAATCTCTCCTCTGAAATATTCTGCCTGCAAGCATTTTTACAACACTTATTTATAAGATTAGTTTATTAACTTCATTGCATGGAGGTAGGTACTTTAAATAATAATATCTGTCAGAAATTATAATTAATTTGACCCTTATCTGCTCTCACAGTATGTGTCTACTGTGAGCACTTTTATTACCTTTTGAAGATAATATAATGGTTTCTTTTTTGGCAAGTGGAAAACAGTAGAATGAGTAGAAACCAAGGTGAACACATGCATAAAACATGTCGGCATATTAAAACAGACATTGTTAATGAATCGCCTGTTGGTTTTTAAAAAAAAATATGGCTTCAGTCAGTTAATATTTTATTAAATCATTCTCCTCATTCAACAAGTTTTGATTGAAATTTTACGCATTATAAAATATATGAGGGGGGACCCAAAAAAACCTGGAATTTATTTATAAAATATTGTATATTTATTCTTACGTGTTTAAACTTCAGTCACCTTAAAAATATTCTCCGTTTGATACGATACTTATTAAAGATGCTTTTTCCACTGCTCAAAACCGTTTTGAACTCGTCAATTTTGATACCTTTAGTGCTTCTGCCATTTTGGGTTTCACCTTTTCTACATCGCCAAAACAGTTTCCTTCTGAGGACTTTTTTCTATCTGTGGAAACAAAAAAAGTCACTCAGGGCAAGATTGGCTGAATAGGGAAGGTAGGGCATGAGAGTCATGTCATTTTTGGCCAAAAACTGCTGAACACTCAGCGCAGTGTGGTCAGGTGCTTTGTCATGGTAGAACTAGTCACCTGTTTGCCACAACGCTGGACGTTTCTTCTGCAAATCGTAACTCAACCTTCTCAAAACATTCTTGGTTTACCATTTGATCTGGAGGAACGAATTCTGAGCATACTACAAGGGGCCCACCCTCCAAAAGATAATTCCAGGTTTTTGGGGGGTCTTCCCCTCGTATATTTGTCATGTCATAACAGAGAAAAATATTCTTGTTTTCTGAACTATTTTTTCCTATCTAACACTGCTAAATAAATATGAGTAATTGCCTAGTATTTCCCTTCCAATTGACAGTGTAGATTTAAGTGGGAATCCTTATGGCAGTGGGAAATGCTTAAGCTTAAATGTTGGCTTTTTTATGACAATCCGCAGTGACTGGTTATCGGTTGCAGAGCCTTCAGAGTATCTGAGGTCAGTGTGCTGAGCTCAGCCTAGAGCAGCTGCAGACATTGTTTAGGGACCCAGAGTAGGCAACTGATTGACCTGTGAAGAATCTTAACTGTAGTCCCCGGTGTCTGGAAGAAGCATCTATTTCAAGGAATTTCCTAAAGGGAAGAAGGTGAGGAAGGTGACAGATGAAAGGCCCTGAATTATGGAACAGGAGATTGAGTGGGAACTGTGCATTCCTGTACCTGTTTTCAACCACCAGAACCACTGTGCCCAAATATTCCCAAACAAAGTAACGCTCTGAGACTTTCCATCACTTATCAAAGGAAGAATCGTGAGTCTTTATAACTCAAAGGAGTTTTTTCATAGATAAGCTCAGGTATCATATCTCTAGCGTGTACTTTGAAACCCCAAATGGACACTCAATCAAACCCTAGACCTCTTACAGGGTGTGATTTTGCTCTGAGAGGAACCTGAAGGCATAGAAGCCATTATGGAGGAAGAAATGGACCTGCCTTTAATGTAAGCGAAGAGACCACCTGTCACGTCTCCAGACAGACTCAAAGCCAGTTTCTTAACTCTGTCCTCTTTAGCCCCTTATCTCCTCATACACCATCCTCAGAGTCTCTGGATTTTGGCCTCTGAATGGAATACTGCCCACAGTGTGAGCCCTTTGGGGAGAGGGGAATGGTGGTAGCAGCCTCTCATCACCAGGATGTATTGTTTCTGGAAACCTCATTTAAACAACAAAAGGAGGAGAAATTGCCTGGCTGGTTGGAATCTTAGGGTTGATAATTACAAAAATTAAGGTTTTTTTTTATAATCAGAAATAAGTAGAATGATGGTTGTTCCCCTCATAAGAAATTTCCACCATTTCTTGACAGTTGTTTTAATCTTTGGTATTAAATGTGATAGGTTTAAGGGGGACCTTAAGTATGGCTTTTGGAATTTTTCAGTTCAGTTCAGTAATCATTTGGAAACATTGTATATCGAGTGATTTTTTTTTTTTTTTTTCCCAAGAGTTTGAGGGCCTATCAACCACTTAATCAGCTTTGTGGGAGGCCGAGGGAGGTGAGAAGATTGCCTGAGCTTAGGGTTTCAAGACCAGCCTGGGCAACTTGGTTAGACTTCATTTCTACAGTAAATCAAAAAATAAGCCGGGCATGGTAGCGTATGCTGGTAGTTTCAGCTACTTGGAAGACTGAGGTGGAAGGATGGCCTCATCCCAGCAGGAAGAGGCTGCGGTGGCCATGAGTGTGCTACTGTACTCCAGCCTGGCAATAAGAGTGAGAGTCAACTAAAAAAAAAAAAAAATCAGCTTTGTGCAAATCAAGTGCCTAAATTAGTCTCTTTACGTTTTGGATTTTTCTGATAGATACATATTTTTTGGTGACACACTGCCTTCTATTTTTGGGAGGCTCTCTGAATGTTGTTCTTCTTCATGACTGGGGAAAAGAAATCTGCCTCCTTAATCTTCCTTTTCAGGCTTTTGTTTTGTTTTGTTGAGTGGGGGCTCACTCTGTTGCCTAGGCTGGAGTGCACTGGCATGGTTAGCCTCAGCCTCCTGAACTCAGGCAATCCTTTTCTACCTCAGCCTCCCAAGTAGCTGGGACTATAGGTACTCGCCACCATGCCTGGCTAACTTTTTTATTTTTGTAGAGACAGTGGCTCGCTGTGTTGCCCAGGCTGCTCTTGAACTTCTGGGCTCAAGTGATACTTCTGCCTCGGTCTCCCAAAGTGCTGGGATTATAGGCATGAGCCACTGTGATGACCTCTTTCTCAAGCTTTTGAGAAACGAGGAGGGATAGTTCAGCCCAAGGCCAGGTGAGAGCTGAGGCTGGTGGTTCCCTTCAGCAGTTCACTGGTCTCTGCGGGAGAGTCGTGTCTTCTTGTTCCCGCATCTGCCCATCCTGTCATCTGCCATCTTCATTGGAGGTAGTCAGTTGGGCTTTTCCCTCTTCATATCCTTGTGGGCTACTAGAAAACTGTCACGCAACTTGCACAAGCTTCTGTACAATATTCTCTCTTGAAATCTGAAATCCAGAAAGAGGCCAATATTTCAAGGTGATTTAATTATGGGCACCTTCTGAAGCAGATGAACAGGAACAGCTGTTTAAGTAACATTATTATGATGTTCTTCACAATGGGCTTCCGGTTACCCTGCTCTTGTAGTTGCTGATGAGATTCTGTGAGGCAGGGAGCCCTGACGCATGAACAGGATAATGTGGGTATTAACTGATGGAAAAACAGTAGCGATCCCTTCACAAATAGAGGTACCATTGGCCCCCGTAGTTTATATCTTCTTGGACAAAGAACAGAATGTTCTACTCTGACATGTAGGGAAATTCCCAATCCCAGAAGACTGTTTTACCCATGGAAAAAATATCCTAATTTATTCTTTAGTGCAAATTGGGAAAATATTTAACAATTTTGCTTGGAAGCACAACTTTCACCAATCATGTTATTGGTATTTTCCAGTATCACATCAGGATTGACAATTAATTTTTGTAGCTCTCTTGATGTAAACGTCCCCAAATGTCTATATCCTTGTAGTTCCTATTTAAGCAGATATTACCAGCAATGCATTTTTAAAAAGCAAGTCTTCCTTTTTCTTCTTCATTGTCCTCTTACGATGACACACTAAGGCAGTTTCTTTTGTCAGCGTTCAATGGTCTGGAAGATATTTTGGAGCACACTTTGTAATGTAATTAATAGACATGTTTTGTAAACAGGCATTTGCACCCTGTAATTAATGATTATCATGAGGTTTTTTTTTGTATTTTAATTCTATTTTTGAAAGTTAGCATTGGAATAAATGAAAATAGAACAAAATAAAATGAAATGAAAAGAGGCTACGGTAATGACATTCACTATTTTGGGCATTTAGGAACCTGTTTTGTTCACTGGAACAATGAGGAAAAACTTGGATCCTTTTAATGAGTACACGGATGAGGAGCTGTGGAATGCCCTAAAAGAGGTAATCTATAAAATGTAATTACCTTTAATTTGTTAGCATCAGTATGTGTATATGTACATTTATAGCACTGCAAATAATTAAGGGAGCTCGGTGTTTTAGCTAACTCTGTTCACTGAGAGCATTGAGGATATGGATGAAAAAATCTGTGTATTGACGATGATGAAAACCAAAAACATTTCTGTCTCATGTGCTCATTTAAACCTTCCTCCTGTAGTCCAAAACATCCAAATATGTCATCTTATTTGTCTTTAGCAAGGCAGTAAACTAGAAGTTGTATTTATGGGCTCAAGTTCTACTCGTGACTAAGTTACACTGCAGCATTTAATTTACAGTTCTGTTCTTAGAGAAATTCTAGTAAAGGAAGACAAGTTTTTCTTTGGGTTAGTGACTTAGGCCTGTAATCCTTGCTCTTTGGGAGGCCAAGGTGGGAGGATCGGATCAGGCCAGGAAGTTTGAGACCAGCCTGGGCAACAAAGCAAGACCTCATCTCCACAAAAAAATAAAAAGAGGGCAGACTTCTCAGGTCCCCTCCCACTGTGGGAGCTATTCTGTCCTCTCAATAAATCCTGCTTTCTCCAAAAAAATAAATAAATAAGAATTAATTGGACATGGTGGTGTGCACTTGTAGTTCTAGCTACTCGAGAGGATGAGGCAGGAGGATCACTTGAGCCCCAGGAGTTCAAGGCTGTGGTAAGCTGTGATTGTGTCACTGCACTCCAGCCTGAGTGACAGAGTGAGATCCTGTCTCTAAATAACAGTAATATAGTTTTTCATTATTAACTGAAAGATGAATGAGATCATATTTATCCAATGTTTTGAAGTTTTATAAGAAAGTGTTTATAAAGGTTAATTATATAGTTAGAATGGGATAACTTTTTAAATTGACAAACATGTAATTTTAATGCTACAAAGTGAACGTAGGTAATAATCCTGGAGTCCTTGCTAAGTTTTTTTGCTGATACGTTGATTTCTAGAAGATTTGCTATTATTGTGTTATTCTTTTGAGCCACTTCTTAGAATTTCCTTGCCCTTACATGAAAAGGATTTTGACTGTTAAGGTGCTGTTGGTTTGTGTACTTTAACTAATAACTTTTTGTTTTCACCCTAGTTCTTCAAATAATTCTAAGCTACTTAATGGCAGAAACCATGTTGTAAAAATTTTAATCCCTCATAGGACTTAGCTCAATCTTTTACTTTTAAAATGGTAGATCCTTTCATCTCAGAGAAGTGTGGTTTATTTCTTTTTTTAAAAAAAGTACAAATCCTAGTGATGAATTCCTCACTATTATTATTGTTGTTGTTTTGAATTGTTTTGTATTTAATTTATAGTTGGGTTTTGACTGTGAGCAAGCAGATTTGGAGGCCAGATGATTTCCTGGCCAGTAATTCTTGTTTCTGAAGGCATGTCACTGCCAAGTCTTTATGTATCCACCCTGCTTTCCAGCAACTGTGAGGATTTTATTTTTCCTAAACTGGGTCAATTACTTCACCTTCTTCTACTTGATAAGTAGTTGACCTCTGATTTCATATGAGCCTGTGAGTCTTTCTACAGTGAAATTCTAGGAGAAAAGGAGGAGGAAGACAGTCAAATATCAAATGTAAAGAACGATAAGGCGACCCACTGTTCTTGAACTCTGAGGACAAATGTAATAGTGAAATTGTGACACACCCTAAAAGAACAGGAACTACTTGATAAATATTTCTCTATTTGCTTCAGAGCTGGAGAGTTCTTGTCACAGAGTCTCAGATAGTAAAATTACTTTAGAAACACATTGCTCCAAGAACAGTGAAGAAATGTTAATTAGGAGACAATTCCATCAAAAGCCATTCTAGAATTTGACTGGAACTTATACGAATTTAATCTGTAGTAGACAAAATTAGAATACAAAGTAGGATCTTCATTTAAGTCTAAAATTGAGGAAGTAGAAGAAGTAGATATGCTCAGGTCTACCTTTCCTTAAACTGTATCTGGAGCCTGCTATAAACAGAAACAATTGTATGTGTACTCTGTGGCCTGCCTGCAAAGTGTAGTGAGTGGTGTCTATGTATTGCTCTAGAATTGACTTCAGAGGCTTAGTAATGTCTCTTAGAAGTAAGAAACCATCTCATCATTGTCTTTCTCCAGAAATTATTTCTTTATGACATTATAGGTTTTTCAGTGAAGGATTTGGTAGAGTTTCTAAAAATTGGGGTACAGTGTTGTATGTACAGTGTGATTTCAGCTGTTTTTAGTCAAACCTACAAAGGGGGACCTAAAACACCGGAGATTTGTTTGTAAAAAATTGTGGGCTGGGCTCAGTGGCTCAGCCTGTAATCCCAGCACTTTGGGAGGCCAAGGCAAGTGGTTTGCCTGAGCCTGCGGGTTCGAGACCAGCCCGGGCAGCTAGGCGAGACCTTGTCTCTACAATACATTGGAAAAAAAAAAAACTGCCGGGCTCGGTGGCTCAGCCTGTAATCCCGCGCCTTTGGGAGGCTGAGGTGAGTGGATTGCCTGAGCCCGCGGGTTCGAAACCTGCCTGGGCAGGCGAAACCTCATCTCTACAATAAAATAAAAAACTTAGCCGGGCGTGGTAGTGCGACTACTCGGAATTCCGACTACTCGGAAGGCTGAGGCGGAAGGATCGCCGGAGCCCAGCAGGTCGAGGCTGTGGTGGCCGGGGGCGGCCACTGCACTCCAGTCTGGGCGACAGAGTGAGACTCCAACTCAAAAAAAAAAGAAAAAAAAAATTGCCAGGCATAGTAGTGAATGCTTGTAGTTCTGACTACTTGGAAGCCTGAGGTGGCAGGATCACCTGAGCCCACACCAGGTCAACGCTGGGGTGGCTGTGAGGGTGACACTGCACTCCAGCCTGGGCAGAGAAGTGAGACTTCAACTCAAAAATAAAAATTGTATATTTATTCTTACATGTTTCAACTCCAGTCACTTTCAAAGTACTTTCCATTTGATGCAATACATCTATCGAAATGCTATTCACTACTCCAAACACTTTCTGAACTTGTCAATTTTCATGCCTTTTAGTGCTTCTGCCATTGTTTTAGTTTTCGTTTTTCACCTCTTCCACTTCAGCAAAACGTTTCCTTTTGAGTACTTTTTTCATGTAGGAAAAGGAAAATAAGTCTCTTGGGGCATGGTCAGTTGAGTAGGGAAGGTGCGGCATGGGGGTCATGCTGCTTTTGGTTAAAAACTACTGGACAATCAGCATGGTGTAGGAAGGTGCACTCGTAAATCACCCATCAGACAAACGTGTTGACTCTCCAAAAATTTCACTGAAGCTGAACACAGCCTCTCACAACAATGCTAGCTGGTTCCTAGAGCACTTACCTAGCAGAGGAAGCGAGTACTACAAGGGACCAGCCTTCTAAAAGATAATTCGGGAGTTTTTTGGTCCTCCTCATATATTCTGAAACCTGTACCTATGAAAGTCACCAAACAATTCACATTGAGTGTTTGAAGGTAGTAAAACAATGAATGATGAAGGTTTTCTTCTTTTCTGTTTCTTTGGTTTTTCTGAATTTTCCACATTTTCTCTAGTACACTTATTTTCTTTTGTTATCTGGATGGAAAAGGAAAGACTGAGCACTCCTAGCAGATGAAGCACGGGATTTTTCGCAGCAGTAGTTCAGAGTTTCATGACCACAAGTTCACGGAGGCTGGGGTCATGCTGATAGGTCAAGGAGTCTTTCCTTGGAGTCCTTGGAATCTCAGGGTCTTCTGACTGTGAGTCAGAGCCTCACCCCTTGGAAAGTGGAAGCATGAAGTTATGTGTGTGTCTTTATCTGGGGAGACTTCAGGAAAGGTTTCAGTACCACAAGTCCAGGGCCCTTCAGGTTCCTCTGGATTTCTGTCTACGTGCTGTCTTTGTGGCTTTTTTCTATGAGATCCACACCAGAGCAGCATAACCTATCCCGCTCTTCAGTGAATGGTAGGAGACCTGGTATCATTTAGAAACTCCCTTTAAAGTAGACTAAAATCCATGGTCAGTTGGTTTATAAATGATGCCTGACTGGGAAAGGGATCCCAAACTAATAAGGTTGGCTTGAGATTCATTAACAAGGCACTATTGTTGGGCTCAGTGGCTCAGCCTGTAATCCCGTGCCTTTGGGAGGCTGAGGTGAGTGGATTGCCTGAGCCTGTGGGTTCGAGACCGGCCT